CTAGGATCATCTGCTGTTTGCTGATCGTTTCCCTCTTCTGTTCTTTTTTGAAGCACTGGTATCCCTCCTGTTGCTTCTCTTGACATATCCTCTTGTTTTTCTGCAGCGTCGATGCCGTCTGCTAGTGTTGTCGGACTTGCCTCCGGCACTTGTGTCTCGTCTGTGTCCGCTACCTTTTGTTCTGTGTCCACTTCTGTTGCCTCTCCGATTTTGTCTTCTGCTGCCCGGCTGTCTGTCACGATGCAGACATCTCCCGCAGAGTCTCTTTCTGAGCTCCTGTCCCGGCGTGACTGACGCTGTCTGCTAACACCTGCCTTTCGCTCTTTGTATTCCTTGAGATAGTTGACGAGTCGCTGCGCCTCTGCAGGCCGCTGCGTCTGATCAGGCGTTGCGGCCGTAACTGCTGTTCGGCATCAGCAGTGCGAGTGCCTGACTCTCTGTCCAGCTCAGGAAGCGTAGCACACGTCGATTGTGCGTGCCTCCCAGGCTGTGGCCCCTGGAACACTTGTCTCCGCTCTTGCACTCGCCACGCGTGAAAGCACTGCAAAGGTGAACCCGCATACAGTGCTTGCTGCACTCCCTGCCAGATCTGTCAAAGTTCTTGCAAATTTTTGGCCGGAGTCTTCGGCATCGCCCGAACGTTTTCGCTGAGCCGTTGCAGCAAATCCGCCAAGGGCATGTCTGATAGATCTGTGGCTTCCAGTACGTTGGTGTTGTGTTGGCCGGCCTTGACGTCATGGCTGAGGTCGCAGTCGTCCAGCGGACAATGATTTAACGCATACCGGTAGCAGACGTGCAAATAGGGACACTTGCACGTGCTGTAAGAGAGACCTGTGCAGGAACCTTCGTTGTACGAAGTACAGATGTTAACGTTCTTCCCGCGAGCTATGCGGCGTAGTTTTTCGAACACAAGTCTTATGTCGTCTTCGCCTCTCCAGCCGGCATCGTTTAGCACCTTGAGGTTCTTTGCTGTGTGCAGGTCGTGAATCTTCTTGCAACCACTGTTGTTGCATGTTGTAAGTATATACCAAAGGCAGACATGCAGTCGCGGGCATGCTTCGTCAAAACATGCTCCATTAAAGTAGCGGGCACACAGGTGGGGGACTTGTCTGTCCCTTATGATAGCACCAGCTGCATCGCTGATGCTAGGCATTTCGGCTTCCGCCGTTTCGGGATCCATGGCGACCCTGAAACAAGAGATGTTCTGTATCATTCTAAGGCGATCACGTGAATGAGAAAACCTGAACACGGATGCACTGGCGCCCGGAGGTGGAACGCACAAGACGGGAAAGGGGATGCGATGGAAAAGGAGTAGAGTGACTGTCCTATATGTATAAAATATAGGTACGTGCCCGGCAGACCGCCTACGATTTGAAGGGTTGCACTGACTAGACGGCCACCAGGACGCCTTTTGCAGCAAAATGCCTACCTACCCAGGTAAATTGCAATTTAGGTACTTACATTCTGCGATACCCGGTACCCACTCTGAAATGCTACCGTGACAGTTTACCCAGAAATTGTGCCGAGCACCTGTAGGTTTACGTTATGAGCTGAAACACTAAAATCGGCACTGTATGCTATTTAATTACTGAAATAGTTTGCTGATAAGCCCTCTTGTATTTAGGTGCAAGATGCCTCAGAAGTGCAGGCCTCAGAGTTGGGCAGAGATGACCAGTTAACCAATCATCCAACGCCAGCTGTCAGCTCGAGTGGACAGTGGTAGGAGCACTTGCAATGTGTACATCTACATGCGTGACTATTGGCAATGTCGTACTGGCATTTTAGTTTAGCTACCGATCTCGGGCAGGGAAACAAGTATTGAAGTCTGAGGCAGGCAGTTGTCTAAAAAGAAGCGGTGCCCTGGCTCATTTCTATTGAGCATCTTCTCCCTCCCCGACCCGGGCTTTAACCTTTCAATGCCGTCGTGAAGTATCGCTGCATTTAGGGTTTGTGGGTCAAGTATGTTTTTTTTTCAGGGCCTATAAAATATCCTTTAGAAACATCAAAAGCATGGTAGGTACATGTAAACGTACAATGTTCTTGAACCCACTGGGCAGCCAGCGCGCTTCATATGGAAAACGGGGCTTCCACCCAAGGGGACAGAGGAGCTCCTTCATCTCTCCGCGCCTCTTTTCGACCTGTTACATACGCTTGGCGAGTCTTGAAAAGGAGAATCTGAAAGCCGCACTGAATGCTGGCGAGTAGCCGATTTTGTTCCCATTAAAGGTAGTGTGCCACCTTTGAAAGATTTCCCATTTTATTTTTCCTAGGATAAGAAGCTTCTGTTTTTACCTAATATCGCAAAGAAAATCAAAAATGGGCCTGGAATAGTGCCTTTTTCACCTAAAAGTTTATCGGTTTTTTCGATATGTATAACAACTGTAGTGGGCTGACCTGCAAACAGGCGTCGGCAACAATCGCGAATGCGGCGCACATGTGACAATAAGCAAAGGTCATTATAGAGTTACGACGTACGGGAATGAGTTATCAGCTGTCTAATCGTAGACAACACATTGTCGAGCCTTAAACTGTAAGCCTGTATTGGTATTGTTTCTTTTATTTGGCTGTCGAACATTATTTATGGTTTGAAATATGATTTTATGTAAAATAATTGATATGAAAAGCCGTCTCTTAAGTTATGACCCCATTTCACCACACGCAAGTGGCAGAAATGACAATGATCAGCTGACGCATTTTTCTTGGCCGAAGTCAGAGCGCGCGGCCCGACGCACCACCACCGCACCACAAAGTATGAGCAGAAGCCGCGCCCAAAGCCAGGGCCCCGGTAACGTGAGGTAGCCGAGTCGGGGCAGCGTGCGCTGACCCAAGCCGGGGCCGCAGCTTTGGGCGCGGTCTACCGCATCCCCGCGGGCAGCCCCGGGCTTTCACATGACACCGGGAGGACGCGCGGCCCCGGCTTGGGTCAGCGCACGCTGCCCCGACTCGGCTACCTCACGTTACCGGGGCCCTGGCTTTGGGCGCGGTCTACCGCACCACCTAACAGGCGTGTTCGAAACCGCAGGAGATGATGATGAACGGGTTTATCGAAACTTGATTGGATGAGCATATCGGTAATAGTGATTTCAGTGTGTGCATTTATTGTTCATAGTGGTGTGAAATGTGGTTGGGGTACGACCGACAACCCGTCGGGGCGAATTTCGCACTGGGGTACTCAAAATTTGAAGAATTTAAGACGTTTCCATGAGTTTTGAAGGTATGGATAAGTTCTAAAAATCTGGTTCTCCTTATCTGGGCCATTAACTCCATACGGTCCAGGAAAGCTGGCACACTACCTTTAAAGGAACTATCCCACCTTCTAAAATGTTGTTAAAACCAGTTAAATTGTGCCCGACTTTATAGATTGGATGACCAGGAACACGGTTCTGGCATTTATTTTTCATTAAACATCTTAGGCTTCCCATATTCCAAACACAAACTTTCAAATATGTGACGTCACAGCCCAAAATTACCTCCTTCCCCAGGCCACATTACTGTCATAAAGCTGATTCTTTTTACTCTGTAGGCACCACAACAAAGTTCAGACCAATTTTTAAGCGATTTTTCAACGAACAAACCCATTTAAAGGTAGTGTGCCAGCTTTCCTGGACCGTATGGAGTTAATGGCCCAGATAAGGAGAACCGGATTTTTAGAACTTATCCATACCTTCAAAACTCATGGAAACGTCTTAAATTCTTCAAATTTTGAGTACCCCAGTGCGAAATTCGCCCCGACGGGTTGTCGGTCGTACCCCAACCACATTTCACACCACTATGAACAATAAATGCACACACTGAAATCGCTATTACCGATATGCTCATCCAATCAAGTTTCGATAAACCCGTTCATCATCAGCTCCTGCGGTTTCGAACACGCCTGTTAGGTGGTGCGGTAGACCACGCCCAAAGCCAGGGCCCCGGTAACGTGAGGTAGCCGAGTCAGGGCAGCGTGCGCTGACCCAAGCCGGAGCCGCGCGTCCTCCCGGTGTCATGTGCTAGCCCGGGGCTGCCCGCGGGGATGCGGTAGACCGCGCCCAAAGCTGCGGCCCCGGCTTGGGTCAGCGCACGCTGCCCCGACTCGGCTACCTCACGTTACCGGGGCCCTGGCTTTGGGTGCGGCTTCTGCTCATACTTTGTAGTGCGGTGGTGGTGCGTCGGGCTGCGCGCTCTGACTTCGGCCAAGAAAATGTGTCAGCTGATCATTGTCATTTCTGCCACTTGCGTGTGGTGAAATGGGGTCATAACTTATAAGACGGCTTTTTCATATCAATTATTTTACATAAAATCATATTTCAAACCATAAATAATGTTCGACAGCCAAATAAAAGAAACAATACCAATACGGGCTTACAGTTTAAGGCTCGACATTGTGTTGTCTACGATTAGACAGCTGATAACTCATTCCCGTACGTCGTATGGTCGTAACACTATAATGACCTTTGCTTATTGTCACAAGTGCGCCGCATTCGCGATTGTTGCCCGACGCCTGTTTGCAGGTGAGCCCACTACAGTTGTTATACATATCTAAAAACCGATAAACTTTTAGGCGAAAAAGGCACTATTCCAGGCCCATTTTTGATTTTTTTTTTGCGATATTAGGTAAAAACAGAAGCTTCTTATCCTAGGAAAAATAAAATGGGAAATCTTTCAAAGGTGGCACACTACCTTTAAATCAGAATGACTAAACGAGGTGATGTCACACTAACGGTCGCTCCATGTTGAAGATAGGGCCTTGCGCAAGGCCCATTTTCAAATGAAGGGAACGAATCTCTTCAACACCAAGAGGCCGCGGGGGTTGCAACCTACTATAGATAGTGGTTTCTGAACCTCGCCGCAAACTTGGCTATCTCAACTCAAACCCCATGTTAAAGGTGGGATAGTCCCTTTAACTCTCTTCGGTGGCGGTTCCCTGGTCTTGAATTTTTCCCTCTCAATCTCGCTCTCTTTCCTTCACTCTCCTTTCCCTGCTTTTCCGCGCTCATCGTAATCGGAAAGAGAATCGGTTTTATTGTTTATTTTTTATTTGATCCATCAAAATAACAATCACCATTGGTAAGCATCACAATGATTGCGATTTGGTGCCATACGAATCTATAGGTTTTCATACTGTACCTTACCGACTTACGATTGTTAATATTACAAAGCATACATACAGGGTTTACAAGTGTTGTTTTTACGCCTATTGTTCGCATTGTTGTCCATTTCTTCCACTTCGGAAATATCGAGAAACATGATCCGCTTTTGGAGTGAGACATAGTGTGCCACATAGACATAAGTAAGCTTTCTCGAAGGGTGCGGCTGCCGGCTGCCGGTGGCTGTGCAGTCGTCTCCAGCGGCTGCTGGGCGGCTGGTCGAGCCGCGCAGCTAGGTTTGGCGGCGTCGCTCGGCCTCCAGCTGTCGCCGGGCGCGGCGCGTCTCCTCGTCCTGTCCGTCGAACCACTCGGCCACCGTGTCGTCGATGACCAGCGAGCGGACGGCGGTGGCGATCGGCGCGCGGCACAGCGGGCACGGCTGCCTCTGGCGCTGCACGTCGCGCACGCAGCCCTCGCAGAAGGTGTGCGTGCACCCGAGCGTGGTGGCGCGCACGAACAACTCGTGGCACACCGCGCAGGTCAGGCTGACCGGGGCGCCGGCGCCGGCCCGCTGCGGCGCTGACGGTGGCTCCTCTCCGCCAGTGGCACCCTCCGGGCACTCGACGGCCGCGGCCTTCTTCGCCGCCTTTCTGGCAGCATATCCTTCACGGATCGTGGCGAACACGTCTTCGGCATCAAGCAGATTGAACTTTTGGAGTATCTCCTTGTTGTGTTCGCCTCTGAAGATGTTATGCTCTTTGAGGCATGAGCTCTTTTTGTTGCAGCGCCCCATTAAATAGCTGAAGCAGACGTGCAGAAAAGGGCACGAAGGATTAGTGCAGAAGCGCTTGTTGTATTCAATGCAAGCACTCGGGGCTTTTCTGGGTTTTGGTGCTCCTTTATCGGCTTCTTTTTGGGCTTTTTCAGTTCTCCGCTCAGCCTGTTCGAGTGTGGGGTCGTTCGTTTGTCGAACAGATGCTCCGTCTCCCCGTCGCGGCTCAGCTTTCGCGATGTTTTGTTTTTCGCTGTATAGGTTTCTGTACTTTTCGCTGAGGTTTTTAATGATAACGCTCTGATCTATGTCTAGAAGTCCTGCGCCTCTTAGCACGAGCATGTTGTGCTCATCCCTGCCAAAGTCATGCATAAAACGGCATTGACCTTCCGAAGCGTTGCACTGTTTCAAAATGAAATGCAGACAGAGGTGGAGCTTGTTGCAATCTTCACGCACACATCCTAGAGCATTGTAGTCTAGACATAGCTCAGGAGTTGGCAGACCTGAAATCTTCACCCCATTGCAACTAGCTGCTCCTTGTCCGACTTTCTCTTTAAGCATGGTCATCAACTGGGGATGCTGCTCGCTGCTTGTCCAATTATTTACCTTCAGCACCAGCTGGTTATGCACAGTGGTCAGTTGGTGGGTGCGACTGCACCTCTCGCCGTAGAGACAGTTTCCGATGACGAAGCCCTGGCAGATGTGCAGACTCAGGCAGCTGTCGCTGGTGCAGTAGGCCGCTGCTGAGTTGTAAGCGGGGCAGATGTCTGGCACCGTCGCCCCGGCCGGCGCCGTCGGCACCGATTCTCCTGATCCCATCCAGGCACCTGAAACGCACCGCTTCATATGTAGGCTGGTGTATGAGTGAGCTTCTGCGAGGGTGCTTTTGATGGTGGGATCCGATTGCTTCAGAAAAATTGTGTGACTCAGATTTTTACGGATATAAGCTCAGGAAGCACTCGCTTACATAACATGTAAGCGATCTACTGTTTTATCATGTCAATACAATATTTCAAGTGCAACCTTTCGATTTCTCTGAATCAGTCATTGTTCTTTCAGTTGATGACATGCCTGCAACACTTCACATAAGTCAATTAGTAACGCTAGTAAAAGGCGAACTTGGCAGCAGTTCTATAGTCCGTCTGAATTGAGTGACTGTAATCATAGCAAAAGAAAAAAAGATGTTTTAACCAAACTCACAATGCAAGATGCTTTCTGGGAAGGGAGGGGAGAGGGTCACCTTAAAACTGAATGCATAGGGATCGTCGAAACACGCGCTCTTAACGGTCGTTTCTTTATGCGATGGTGCTACTTATTTCTTATACGATTGGGCACTTTGTAAGAAAGGTCCTTTTTTGATATCTCTTGTCTTTACCTACTTTTGTTGTGCATTTATGTAAGTTGGATTATGTTCTTGCGAATTACTAAGGACTTAGATAACCGTAGCCTTAAGCCACCCCTGCTCACAGTAGCATGCTTGTTAAATTGTCATGGTTAATGGTCGTAGGCCTTATCTAATCTGTCCGCCCTATTGCAGTGTCGCTAGAACCGCACCAGAATAAGTTTTACCTATTATTCTAGAAAGAATGATGAAGGATGCTATTATTTTGCAATGATGTTGGCCCCATTTTTCATGTTTCAGAAGATATATTCGGCAGTTGTCTACTTACACTAGTGATTATGTGTTTGCGTTACTCCGATTGTCCTTTTAAAAACGTCATTTTCAGTCAGACGCATCGATGAATAAAAAGTGGTTTGGCACGCAGCGGGCATATCCCTCAAATGGTTTCTTAGTTTGAAAACCTCTCGGACCTTGAATAGGCTAGTGCTAAAATACATTGACTGTCAAAGTCGTGGTGAAGTACACAGCAAGTTCACACTGTAAGTAATTTAAGATGATACCCTTTACCTTACCGTGTTTAACTCTGAACACTACATTTAACATGACACCCAAAGCGCTTCATCTTACCAGGCGCGGATACAAGGGGGGGGGCCATGGGGGCCATGGCCCCCCCTTGGCCGATTTTTTTTCAAAAATAAAATAAAAATTTAAAAAGCTGAAAAGGGGGCCTCCTGAAAATAAAGTGGCCGAAATCCGATGAGTTTTTTTTTTAACCTACCCACTTAGTTATTTCTTAGAAGACTAGCTGAGAAGACTTCTTTGTTAGAAGATTGGTAAAGCTTTTCATAACTTGGAGGTCTCTTATACTCACAGAGATGACCACTTTTACAGGGCCTGCTAACCTGCACAGAGGGCCTCCAAGCCTGCACAGATGTTGAGATGTTGCCTGAACAGCTAGATAAGCTCAATAGACGCAGTTTTTTTTGGGGGGGGGGCCAACAAGTGGGAAGATGGGGCCTCCAACAGGTGGGATTATGGGGGGGCCTCCTGGTTTCTAATGGCCCCTCCCTTGGAGATTTTCTGGATCCGCCCCTGCATCTTACCGTGTACGGCCGCGGTCGGCTCCCTGTTGTGTCTGGCGACAACAGTCGGACCATCACCTCGACCACCCCTGTAGGTCATGACGGCCTTGCTATCGCGGCTCACGTGTTTCGGCAGGCTATCTTATCCGTGTGCACGATCGCAGGGTCGAACGCCGCTGGTTAATTCTGTGGTCATCGAGCAAGATACCGGGGCGGGTTAACGTTGGGATATCGGGATATCGGTGGAACAGGTGACCTGGGTCCTCTCGGTGGGCTACTGCACAGTCGGCGCTTGATGACCTCATCTGAGAGGGTCTCGGACAGTCGGGCACACTTACTGGTGAATCAGCATCAAATCAGGCTTTGTAACGTTAAAGTGCAATTGCACATACAGGGACGGTTTGTGTCACTAAGTGTTGAATGTCGCATAAGCTCAATATTGACAAAGTGTCATTATTGTGTAAGAATGCGTTCGAAGTCGGTCGTAGTTGAACCATATGCTAGTGCTCTCACCATGCGGGATTGACGTGTGTCCGATGATTGTGCTCTCACCGATACGGGATTGAAGGGTGTTTGATAATTGTTTGGCGATGACCTTAGTTTGGAGGGAGTAGAATTCGGATATGTGCGGTTGACGTTCATGTACATCCCGCAAGAGTTCCAAGTGACAATTCTCGTATCACTTAGTATTGTCGTAAGCCAGTTTTTTTTTTTGACGAGCCTGCCAGATTGGTTAGTTGCAACCTCCTTCCGTATTTCAATATCAACGACTTGTTGCATGGGAATAGAGGCCCGTGATCAACTTTTTACGCTGAAATTGTATTTCATTGCGACAATTCTTCTGCTGTCGTATGTGAATTCCGAAACAACAGGAGCTCGTGCATACTGCATATCGTCAAATACTTTCCACAACATGAAATATTTTCAGCCTGATACAAAAGATTTTCCCACTGTGTTTGTGATGTTCAGTCCCGTTATAACATGGCGTAAAGCTGTGCGACGCGGTGTCTCATATAAGGTGAGTTACTGACAACGGTAGGTCGGAAACTGAAATTATATTATAGCATCAAGCATGACGTTTAGCTATTTCATGGTTGGGCATGTCAAGCGATACATTCGTATTTTGCATTTCGACCCAAATATGTGAGTTAAGAAATCGATCACTTACAACACAATGCTGACACTCGGGGGAAGGGGAGAGTCTGACCTGAGATCTCTTAGATCGATCTAGACAGGTAGGCATAAATATAATCTAGTCCTAGATGCTAAGAGATATCTGCAGCCTATCGACATTCTGTCGCTGAATCATCCCTTGAGATGACGGCCTGCACACTTGAAAGATTTACTGTAGGTTATTATCGGCGCCACAGCTCATTGTTTACGGTCCTGAATCATGCATTCGAGATCATTTGATCCTTATCCCAAGGCCAAGTGGCTTGTGAAACATGAAACAGGTGATGAAGAACAGGTGCAAGGATGTCAAAGTACGACTCCGGTGCAAATACATGCATGTTAACCGATGTGAATACATTTCATATAGATACGCATACAATATATGCGTGAAGGCATGCACATTGCACGTCGTACAGACCTGCTCACTCGAATCCCTGCGCAAATAAATGCGGGTGTTGCCAGCTGCTGGTGTTTTCAGATCATATAAACGAAGATAGATAGACATAAATTAAAATGACATTCCTAAAATTTATTTCTGGCCCATGAGGTCGGCAAAACGTAACATCACTGGCAGGGAAGGCTTGGTTGTTTGTGGTACATTAATTAATAAATAGGAAAGCATACCTACCCAGCACTTTATTCATTTCGCATATTCATGTTATCAAACTAACAGCAAAAGAGACGTTTCTTCAGGGGTGGATTCAATCCATTCCCTATGATGGTCGTTATACGCATGTGCCTTATGAATATATTTGTGCACCGTACAATACACAACACAAATACACATGGTGCACAAAGGCACTATGCAGGCCTACATACGAAGTAATCCAGCATGTTATGAGGACCTGCTCATTCAACTCGAAACACACAATATCGAGATCATGCTTTACTCCTACCTCCTTCTATTCCCAGTTGTAGCGAATGAGTAGAACACACTCGGGAAGTCATTCCATCCGTGTGACCATTAAAGGCCTGGCTACACTATGGGTTTTCTGCGTGCGTTATTGGCGGGTTTGCGTTCTTTGCGTAAAATCGTTCTAGAAAAGAAAAGTTATAAATAATTTAACTTTTAAATTAGTTATATAAAAATTAATAGGTATAACCACTATATAAACTAAAATTTAACATAAAAAATATCACAAAAACGTGATATTGTTTATTTTTTTCTAGAGCAATATTACGCAAAAACCCCAAACCCGCAAAAGAAGCACGCAGAAAACGCATAGTGTAGCCAGGCCTTTACCGTTGCTTCAACTGATAAGTAGCACTTCCAGAGTTTGCTCTATGTATGCGTGCATCCATGTTTATCAAAAAATGAAATGGCGCCAGGAAGGTGAGGCTTTCTGTGTCATTGATATATCTAATACTGCGTCTCTGCCGCTGCCAGACACGATTACTAAACAGATGTGCCAATCGCCAGTCGTGTTGACTCTCATCATACGCGTCATAACACGGAACCGTTCATAACATCGACATCCTGGGCAGAATTAGTGGCGGAACGAGCAAAATTAAGCAAAATGAAAAATATGTTCCGATCACCATTGTTCTACGTCAGGGTCACGTCATCTGGATCCGGTCACCATCACCCCTGGGTCTCGGGGTCCGGTCACCATTGCCCTCTAGGTCCGGTTTTTATCAACCGTGGGTCTCAGGTCCGGTCGCCACCAGTCACCACCCTCCGTCCACTGTCCAGGATTCGGTCGCCATCGCCCATTTTTAGGGTCCGGCGGTCGCCATCACTGTCTCAGGGCGCCTTCACCGTCGTCTCTGGGTCTCAGACTCCGGTCACCGTCGCCCATTTTTTTGGGTCCGGTCACCACCGCTGCTCAGGACCCGGCTACCATCGCCCCTCGCCACTATTTGAGTCCGTCGGTTCGGAGGCAGTGGCAGAGCCGACAGTCTTCACGTTGGTCCTGAAAACAAAGGGGTCATGCTGAGTCAAATATATCTTTTACTTTTGCCAAGTTTGGCTTTTAAGTAAGATTTTGTCTTAAATAGAATATATTTTACACATAAAATACTATATTCTTCAGTATTTTAAACCTTTTGTTGCTATGGACCGTGAGTCAAAGTTCTTTAACCCGCGCCCCACTGGGGTCTGTGTATAACACGCCCTACTGGGGGGGGGCTATTCATAGCCCCCCCCCCCTCCTAACTCCGAAACTACTGGGCCGATCGTCAAAATTCAAACGGCGTCTGATAGCCCCGGAAAACTGTCGAGCGAAACCTAATTTCATTGACCTCGAGGTCACCGATGACGTCACAGGTCAGGTCAAAGTAAAAATTATTAGCATTTTTGCTTGTTCACATTTTGGGCTCTGGCCGCCGTCTTACAAGTCAGATCAGGCTCATTTTTGGTTTCCACACTCGTGAACAGATGCTCTAGATACCTTGAGGGTACCAAACTTGTACTTTGATTTTCAGGTCACCCCGCAGGGGGCTGACCGTGGTCAGAGCTGCTGCTTAGCCGGGGTCATCTGGCTCCGGCTGTGCGGCGGCTGTGACTTCGGCCAGTAAGGGGAGTAGCGCCCCCTCGGCCCCAGCTTGACGCGCGTTTTGACCTGGACTTGCCTTGCCTACTGGATGGATTGTCTGCAGGATTGGCCCCGCAGGGGGTTGGCAGTGGCCGGGGTCGCTGTTGGACTGGGTTCCTTGGGCCTTTGCCCCGCGGCGGCCCTGGCCTCGGCCAGCAAGGGGAGTAGCGCCCCCTCGGCCCCAGCTTGACCCATGCTTGCTTATGACTTGCTTTGATCGCTGGATGGACAGATGGTACGGTCCGACTTTTCTTGTTTTTTTGTGGTTTTGTTTCTCTTGAGCGGTCTTTGTTTGCTTTTGCTTTGCTTCTCACCGGATGTCCGCGTTTCGTTCGATCACAGCTTTCTGATTCTTTTCCTACCTTTTTCGTTGTTTTTGCACCCGCAGGAACACAGCCGAGTTGGGCTAGTGTAAGGGGAGTGGCGTCCCCTCGGGTACCAGCCGGTTTTACTAGGCTAGGCGAGCCGACCCGTACCCCAGGACAACGGGATCCTGGAGGTTGAGCCCCCCACCGTGCGGAGCCAGTCGCGGTGGCTGGGCAACACGCCTCTTTGGCCCTGAGTTCTGTAAGGGCGGGACACTCAGTGGGGCGCCGCACTTGAGGAGCCATTCCCAGTCGTGATGCCGCCGGGGGTGGTGTCGGAGAGGTGTCGCCGGCGGGGTTCGGGCACTTGTGCTCGTCCTCCGTCGGTGGGACTGATCTGTCGCTGCCCCTGGCGGTGACTCGGCGAGGCGTCAAGGGAGGAGGCGGTATCCGACCGTGGGGGGTGGTGAGTCTCTCTCTCCCCCGCGGAAGGTGCCGCCAAGTCCCGTACAGTCAGCTCGGCCGTCCTAGGCCTTGTAGCGGCGCCGTTGCGGAGCGTCGGCGGCCGAGCTGGCGGAGACCAACAGACTCGCATGGATAACCAGACCAACCCCTCCTCCCCCTCTCTCACCAATCCCTCGGCTTCGGCCGATTCTCGCCCGCCGGCCTCGGCCGACGGGCGAACGGTGCACGGTCCAAGACCGAAAAATCCAAAAATCCTCATCTTCCGGAGCGCCGACAGGGAGCTGAGCTCCTTGACGCCCTTCCAGCGGAAGGATGGCTGCGACCGGTTTGGTTCGATCGTTCGTTGTGACCGGATGCGTGATGGCGCGCTGGAGGTCGAATTCAGGAAAAGCGAGGAGGCGGCGAAAGCGTTGGACGCTACTCGCTTCGTATTCTCCGAGGGACGGGCATCCGGCCGGAGGCTCGTCTCCATCCCGCTTACAGTGGAGCCCCACCGCTCTAAGAACTCCTCACGAGGGGTCATTAACTGTTTCGACCTGAGGGGAGTGAGCGACGAGGACATTGCGGACGGGCTCGCCGATTTCGGCGTGACAGCGGCTCGCCGCATCATGACGAAGAGAGGCACGGTCCCGACAAATAACATCATTCTGACATTTGACACCACCGACATGCCGAACGAGGTCCGTGTGGGGTACATCAAGGTCCGTGTGCGCCCATACGTCCCGGCACCCATGCGCTGCTATCGGTGCCAGAGGTTCGGCCACACGAAGGACAACTGCCGGGGTAGACCCACATGCTCCAAGTGCGCTTCTCAGGACCACACTGACGATACGTGCGACTCGGAGACCCCTCGATGCGTCAACTGCGGAGAGGGGCAGAAACCGCACTCCGCGTATGACAGGTCCTGCCCTACATACGTCAAGGAGAAGGAGATTAACACCATCAAGGCTACCAGGAATCTGTCATTCAAAGAGGCCCGGGAGGTATATAACCAAAATCACCCGAAGACCTCGTATGCCCAGAAGGTGAAAGTGACAAACACTACCGATGCCCCCCAGATGAGCGTGGCACAGCTCGTGCAGCTTCTCAAAAGATTTGGCCTCACTGTCGTAGCCACTGGTGACTCCGCGGTCTCTTCGGCGCCTGGTGCGCCGCCGAGTGACACAGAGCAGACTGCTCAAGAGTCAGTGTGGGGTCCACCCAGTCCCGCTCCAGCTGCGAGCGGTGAGGGAGACGATTGGACCGTCGTCCAGCGCCGACAGGGTGGTCGGCGCCCCCCGGCGCAGGGTAAGGCACCATCCACCCCGCCCCGCCCCCGACCGCCCACGGCGGTGCAGGAGGCTCTGCGGCGGGGAGAGGAGGAGAGGAGGGCACGAGAGGCGAGGAGGGCTCGCCTCGTTCAAAAGGCCATCGAGGCTAAGGAGGCCTCTGTTGCCGCCTCCGCCTCCGGGAGTGCCAATGCGGCTGTCGCCGCTGACACCCCGGAGACCCCTCAGGCGGGGACTCGGCCCATCATGGGTCCCCCGCCCCCTCCCTCGCTCTCGCAGCAGCGGCGGCCTCCGCCGTCGCTGCCAGACACACCGGTGTCAAGGACACAGGCCGCCGCCCCGACATCCCCGTCGGGGCAGCCTCAGCCCCCTGCGGCTCCGGGGCGCCTTGCCAAACGGCAGACGCCCCCGAGCTGGTCGCCCTCGGAGGGTGACGCTCCTCGGGCGAAAAAGCCCCAGCAAGGCTTGAGTCACGCCCGATCTGCCTCCGCAGAAGGCAGACTCCACCGAGAGGGCTCGGGGCACCCCCGTATCCGCTACGGGGGGAGCGCCTCTTTGGAAAAAGAGGACTTAGTCTAGTCATTTACTCTAGTCATTTCCTCTTTTATCCTTTTATCTTTTTCGCGCTATTGCGCTTTTTTACCAGGTGCGTTTCTCTCGGTGTTTTTTACCTTTTTTGTGGCCAGTCAGGTATCTGCGTGCGCCTTTGCCTCATGTTATACGCGCCCTTTTTGCGCCTTTTTAACCACGCCTTTTATTCTACAGTGGAACTGTAGAGGCCTCCGGGCCAACTACCAGGACCTACAGTCTCTTATCCGTTGGCGCACACCCCTTGTTTTAGGTCTCCAGGAGACCAAGCTAGCGCCAAATGTCACCTTTGTCATCAAGGGCTACTCTGTTTTTAGAAGAGACCTAGATACCCCGACCATTGCCCATGGAGGTGTGCTTCTGGCGGTTCACCATAGCGTACCTGCGCGCCAGGTGCCGCTGCAGACTCCCCTGCAGGCGGTGGCCGCCAGAGTTGATTTCAACCACCGGGAACTGACCGTGTGCTCTTTATACCTACCACCAGGTAGAGCGCTCCCGGTGGTTGAGCTACATCGACTTGTCGATGAACTTCCACCTCCGGTCCTGCTAGTCGGCGATTTTAACGCTCATAGCCTGGCGTGGGGTTGCGACACGACTGGCACTCGTGGTCGACTTTTAGAATCTTTTATCCGGGATGAGGTGCTCTGTATTTTAAATACAGGACAGCGCACCCATTTTACAACACCCTCCGGTCAAACATCGGCTCTGGACCTGAGCTTAGCCAGCCCGCAGCTAGCTCAGCTTTTTAACTGGTTCGTCCATGACGACCCACTCGGGAGCGACCATTTCCCGGTGTGGCTGGAGCACCAGGAGTCCCCAGTAGTAGGCAGCCGTCCACCTAGGTGGAATCTTCGGAAGGCCGACTGGGGCGATTTCCAGACCGCCGTAGAGGCCTCTGTTCTATCCAGAGCCGACACCTCTGTGATATCCACAGAGGAGTTTACGTCCCTACTCATTGATTCCGCAAACGGGTGCATACCCAAGACGTCGAGCCAGCCTCGTCGTCCTCCTGTTCCGTGGTGGACCAAGGAATGCGGAGACGCGATTCGTGCCAGGAAACGCGCTTTTAGAAAGTTTGACCGGAGTGGCTCCACTGAGAACCTCATCGCTTTTAAGAAAGCGCGGGCTTTTGCCCGACGCGTTTTAAAAGAGGCAAAGGCTGTTTCATGGCGCACTTACGTAAGTTCCTTAAACCGTTTTACTCCTACGACCCAGATATGGGCACGCATGAAGCGCATTGAAGGCCGGTTCAGCTCTGTTCCGCTTCCGGTTTTAAGAGTGAACAACACGGACATATCTCACCCTTCAGACGTCGCAGAGACGATAGGCCGTGCACTCTATCAGCGCTGCCGAGGAGAGTCCTCACGACCTGCACCAGCCGCCGTGGACTTCAGCACAGCTGAAAATTTCGTGTACAATGAGCCTTTCACCATGGTTGAGCTTACGTCTGCCATCAGCTCGTTGCGCAGCGTCTCAGAAGGTCCAGATGCTGTCCACAACGACATGCTCCGTCATCTCCCCGCAGTTGCCCTCGAGGCGCTGCAAGCAACCTTCAATTCGCTTTGGGAGACTGGCACCTTCCCTGAGACCTGGCGGGAAGCCATTATCATTCCTATCTTGAAGGCTGGCAAGTCGGGACATGACCCTCTCCATTATCGGCCCATCTCTCTCACATCATCGCTATCAAAGCTGATGGAGAAGATGGTCAATGTGCGTCTTAGCTGGTTTCTGGAACATCACGGTGTTTTTACAA